TCATATATGATGAAGTTATTGATATTAATTCTAATTTGCAGAATGGTGTACTTGCACGTACTTATTGACGTTGGTAGCTCGCAACTGCAGTTATTTAACCTTTGTGGAAACAGTGATGATAGAATTTGCTCTAGATCCAACGAAGGTAGTTGTGTCCTTGAAGTACATATTGAAGGAAGATTTGCCACCCATCAGGATTAAAAATGACAATAATGTACTATCATACGTTAATGAAAAAAGGGTCACATTTGTGACACTGAAGTCATAGTTGTGTCTATCGCGGATGCTAGAGAGGTAGAAGAAGGAAGGGTGTTCCGTGATTTTGAAAATGAGCCTGTCATTTTTTACCATACAGAGCATGTTTGAGTTTATGATTGAACGGTCCGACAAGAGAGAATATGTTGTGGTATGTGATGTAACTGTGTATTCTCTGTCAACTCTGTATTCTGATGTATGTCTATCTACCAAATGAGGTTTGGACCACATATGTAACATGCTTCCTGAATCTATAAAAGAACTCAGGGATATGAGTCATTCGTGCGTGACCAACACGTTGGAGTATATGTGACATGTATTCAACTACATGTGACCTGACTGTTGTTATATGCACGCATATATCTCCTTCAAACCAGACAGTATTTTCTGTCAGCAACGAAAGGTCGACGTTTGTCGTCGATATTGAGCAACGAACATGCATTTGTAGGATAATACAAGTTGATTTGTTACCGTGTCCACACGCTTTGGCTGTAATTGCAAACACAAGAAGAGATCCATATGATTACTATTCCTATTATTACACAAGAGATGCGTACTTGAATGCATACCAAGATTCTGTATATCCCGTTGGAAATTAAGAGGAATGGACAGTGCCAGAAGAAGTACAACGAGAAATAGTGTTACCTCCTAATCAGAAGAGGAGTTGTGGAAGACCAACGGAGAAAAGGAAGGGATCATCCAGAGAAGGGAGACCGATGACAAAATGCGGACGTTGTGGAGAACAGGGTCACAATCGTAGGAGATGCTCCAGCTTGGCTCCGTTACACTAAAATGACCGATAGAATTACATACAAATATTTCATAGATAGGTGATATTCTTTTAAGGATAATGTTCATTTTAAATAGTCTCTTTAAAGAATGCATTCAAATTGATCAACTAACAGTTAATTGTCTATCAACTTTGGAGTGAGAATAATAATTCTCTGAGATTTGGACCATATCTGCAACCTGATACCAGATCTATGACTTGTGTGCTGTGACCTGTGATCTGCGACATGCAGTATGAAAAAGTTACCTGATTTGTGAGTATGTAACCTGAAATGAGAATATGTGACATGAAGTGTGGACACATACGGGTTACATAAATCCTAATATCTGTAACTCATGTGCTGTGACATGTGAATTATCGTATGAAAGGTATGTGTGACGTGATATGTAAATCTGTGACCAAGTTCAGAAACCAACTGTGACTTGTTTGCTGTACCATACGTGATGCTGTTAAAAATAAAGAATCTGTATAATTTACACAATTTATATAAAAATAGCATTAAAATATAATCTAAGATGGATAAATCATACACCTAAACACGTTAATATCCTTTATTGTAAATCAAAGGTTACGAGTTACTAATCATTACATGAACCTCTATTGACCAGACACATGCAATGTTCATAACATTTACAAACTAAATCCTTGTTTTTACTAACAAATCTAAAGGCACTTTTCATTCTATAATAAGCGCTTCCCCCTTCATAGGCCGATTTACTTTCTTTGTGTAAACATGTCGGTGTTTGTAAAGCAACGTAGCAATATCCATTCTGAACTTGCTGGCATCAAACTTCTTAGGAATGGAACATCTACCACCACGGATAAGATACAACTCATATAACACCACGAATATCCCGCAATCATGACTGCAGAATATATGACAGATTGTTATGAATGAATCCATCAAAATGATATACGCATTGTAAATCTTGGTCACAGACTTACCCATTTGTTTGCTGAGGGAGTGTGTTATCGACGATCACTTTCAATTCTTTGGCTTCTGGCTCGTGATAATCAGGATCCTTCTTTGAAATTCCCAGGGTATTCATTAGAGCAGGCAATACCTTAACGTACGGCTCAATACCTTGTAAAATCTTCCAGTCATGGTAAGATTTACCTGCCGAGTTGAACACAGTTAAGGTATGACTTCTGAATTGTAACATGCCAAGCATCCAACATGTTTTGTTAGTGGGTATGAATTGATCGGATGAACACATAGTCAACATCGGCCCAGGGTGAGCTAAAAGGGAGGCTGTGACCTGTTACAACCTCAAGCAGGCTCGGCTCTGACATCAGAACATTTAGGTCCTTCATGAAGGTAGGAAAAATGTCTTTTATTTTAATATGGAACCATGAGTTTGTAGTAGTGACTCTGTATTTCATATTTTTGCCAAGTTTTGCTATCTGACGAATGAAGTAGAAGTAGGCATCCATGTGCTGTTTCAATGAGAAGAAAAGATATAAGCATTGCGTACGACAGATTGGATACGAATATGAAATGTGACCTGTTTGTATCAAATGTGACTCTGTGACTAGTTACAATATGAAATGTGACCTCTTTGTATCATCTCTGATACTCTTCTTAACGAGTACGAAAGAAATCAGAATTCTAAAAAAAATAATGTAACTTAATTGAGTGTCTAAACGTAATCGTACCGCACCACTCATTGATGACTCCGAATTTATAAACTCACGGAACCAGGTCTTATGACCTACTGGGAATGAACCAATTAGAAAAGCAGGCTTGATGGCATCATCTTCCTCACTAAACTTTTTCCTGTGACCGACACTAAAGGTTACATTCTTTTGTCAAACTGTGTATTAAGTAATTTTTCACAGATAGGTATGAACTGCATTTACATGTTTTTTGGTTTGTATCCCCTCTGGAACCAACCCATGAAGGTCGATTTGTCAACCTCGTCAACATTGTCTTTGTAATCCTCAAAAACGACAATATTATCATCGTGCTTGAATAATTTCCCTCTCTCCTGTCTGGCAATAAAAGGAGACTGCAATACCCTCAATGGCCTTAAAACCCGCTTAAGTGGTCGTTCTGAGGTTGGTTCAGTAGTAGGTGATCCCTGTATGTTATTGCAGTATGTTACAAATTGATTGAAAATACGGCACATGAGCTGTCGTGGCATAGTTTGTAAGCGTGTGTGGTCTGTCACCTACACATGTGACCTGGTTTGAATGTGTCTGTGATATGTGACATATGATTGGAAGATAGTTTGGAAGGGTGTGTGACCTATGACCAATAAATATAACATGGTTTGGAATGTATGTTATCTGTGACCGATGAATAGGACATGGGCTGAAGGAATTTGTGATATGTTACCTAACAATGTGACATGATTAGGAACTGTGTTTAATTTGTCACCTATAAATTGGATATGGTTTGAAGGTATCTGTGCTCTGTGATCCATGATTGGAACATATATTGGTATTGTGTATGATCTGTGACCTATGAAAGGGACATTGTTTGGAATGTCTGTGAAATATAACCTATGAATAGGACATGATCTGAAGTGTGTGTTATTTATGACCTAATAATATAACATGGTTTGGAAGTATGTGTGAATTGAGATCTACAACTATTGGAACATGTAAATACCTCATTCTCAACAGTCTTTGTTGCCGTCAACACATCAGATATAATGGAATCTACACTCTTTTGAGTTTCCTCCGAATGCAAAACTTTGGATGGGATGAATTCAATCCCCAAATCCAATGATGGCGGCTCAAGGGAAAAGAGAAGATCATCACATGGGTCCATTTTGCCTTTCCCTTTTCTGTCGACGTTTGGTACCATGTTTTCCACCTACATGTTGATGGGAAATGTCAAAATAAACTATGTTGTTTTTACAGAAATGTGAAATATATCAAATGACTACCTCATGAGCCTTGTCAAATCCACTAGCCACATGATGTTCTTGATCTCCAACTCCAGGAGCTTCTGTTTGTCCTACTCCACACTCGCTTGTCCTGTTGCCAGACCATCTAATGATCTCGTCCATTGCACTGGATATCATTATTGACGCAGACTCGGATAGAAATTGCAAGTTCGTCCGAATATCCATCAGGTCACTTTTAATACAGGCTTGCATTTGTACAATGTCATCCATTTTAT